AATTTTGAAAGAGGTATTCCGCCCATGTGGTATGCATAATGCCCCCTCCACGCATCCCAAATACTTAGGTACATATGTGGAAGTGGCACATTAATTCCCAGAAAGTAGCATAAATCTCCGGGTGCGCCACCTTCAGTAAGGAAAGCTCCTCGGTAGTGGGGATAAACTCCTCGTAGGGCATTTTTCCAAGCGGCAGCCCCGACACTGCCTGCATCTCATGAAGAGCAAAACCTAACTCTCCTACAGGTGTGAAAAATGTGCAGCTGTCCGGGTTATATTTCTCCAACATGGCAAAGAAATTGTCGATACGTTGCACAACTCCCCGTCGAAATTGAGCGAGCGATTCCTTAAGCTCCTCAAGAACGAAGTCAACCATGCGGGTCCACCAACCTCCTTCTCTAGAACAGACCCATCCAGGGGATCTGAACGTCTGGGTAGAGAATTCACCCTAAACTGTAAGGAATTGGCGGATAAAGATGTTCGCTGGACGTGGCATCTCCGGAACCAGCTCCTTCTTCTCAAACAAACCAGGTCTTAACCCCTTGAGTTGTCCCCCAATTTGTGTACGAGCTCGCCGACCAAATCCAAGTGACACGTTCTCCTTTTCCTTTACTATGTCGAAGGTCAAACCCCGACGGCAGCTCACATTCAAAAAGTAGGAGAGCGGGTACATCCTCTTCATGTTGGGGAGGAATAAAAGGCGACTATCAACTCTCCGCAGCAGCTTTGAATCTTCCACATATGTGAGATGATCATCGACTGGTATGCGATCTCTAAATATGAATGCTGGTTTAGGAAACTGGGCATGACCGACAGGGGTCTCCAAGTCTAAGTCAGTTATCACAACCCTGAGAGTAGAGCATTGAGGGAATTTAATCATTTCCGCTCTTTCCGAATCAGGGAAAGTACACAATGGAATCCTGCTCTGAAGACTGAATGATTCATCCGTGTCAAGTCCACCGATATATCCAAAATGATGCTCTTGTGAAAGCGGCACGTTTGGGAAAAGCACTGCATAATCAAAAGCAGAAGTTAGCAGCTAGAAGCAAGCTATTGACACAAAGACAGAGTCTGAAACACAAAAGGTTAAAGTCTCGTGTCAAAATCTTCAACGCGAAGGTCGAACCTCGCGTCAGAGGTCTCAAACGCGAGAGTCAACCTTGTGTTGAAAAACTTGAACGCGAGGCTCGAGACCCATATGGGATCCCAACCCCGCATTTTCATTGAGCCAAAACGAGTCATCTTCCTCATTATCAAGAACCCATCTAGGGTTCTCAAAGAACTTGCCAAGGCAAGTTATCTCGGTCAGCACTCACCACGACAGGGAGGCCCCTACGGCGGCGATGTCGATGGCAAAGTTCCCGCATGGACAAGGACACCGCCGGCGTCCTCAGCCGACGGCATCTCGGAGGGCGCGGACACCGCCGGCGTCCTCAGCCGACGGCATCTCGGAGGTCGCTCCGGCGACTTTCTTGGAGTTAGAGCCCGTTCTCCGAGGCGCCATTGATGCAGTCGATCGGAGGAAACTATTTTGAACGAGGAGTTCGTCGGAAATCTCACCAAAATCAAACGAGAGTTCTCGTTCTTGGAAATAGCCGAAATTGTAGAGAGTCAAATGACTGTTGACGTGACCACTCAGGTCTATTTATAACAGCCGTCAAGCTATTTAGATGGCACGGGATTCTAAGAGTGAATCCCAACCATCTTCGAAACACGAAGTTCACAACCGCGTTCCAAATCCCAAGCGCAAGGCTCAAGCCAGCGTTATGAAGGCTTGAACCTCACATTCTGAACCCCAAACGCGAAGGTCACTTTAGCGTTGTAATTCTCCTAAATGAAGAATCTACACTTGTGTCATCAAACACAACACTTATCCCTCAAAGTCATGAGCCCTCTTAACGGAGTGTTAATCAGAGCCTCTGTATCTCTTCAGCAGAATCTAAATTATAATTGGGTTAATACTACACCACAGATGATCATCATCCATAACATAGTCTAAGGTTAGCTGGCATCAATACCAACGCGGCTATAGCTTCTCTGTCAGAATCCACTTATCGATTCTCATTAATAGAATGATAAGTCTCCAAATCATTGTCAATTTATTAGCTCTCCTTAGCAGAGCAATAAATAACTTGTTTTCAGTGGGGTAACAAAATTCCTCAAAATCTTGTTCAAATCACAAGTATTACAATTCATCGCTCCGATGATAAAACACTTAGCAGTTCTCCCCAGTGAGACGCTATAATATTCTTTCGCTTCTCCTGTCACATTAAAATTACACCTCTGACAAAATCAACTTATCGATTCTCGTCAATAGAACGATAAGTCCTCAAAATTGCCTTGATCGTAATATTTTAACCGTCACGTTAAAATTACACCTCTGACAAAATAATCTTATCGATTCTCGTCAATAGAACGATAAGTCCTCAAAATTACCCTGATCGCAATATTTCAACCGTCACGTTAAAATTACACCTCTGACAAAATCAACTTATCGATTCTCGTCAATAGAACGATAAGTCCTCAAAATTGCCCTGATCGCAATACATCTCCTGTCACATTAAAATTACACCTCTGACAAAATCAACTTATCGATTCTCATCAATGGAACGATAAGTCCTCAAAGTTGCCCCGATCGCAATATCTCTCTTGCTAAGTTAAAGCTACACCTCTGGCGTTTATAGACTTCTTTCAGTGTTTAAAGCAAAAAAAAAAATAATAACACAGGAAGAATTCTACTGGTCATCCCCATTACTGGAAAATAATAAAATTTTCATCCTCAGCAGTTGGAAACTTTCTAGAGTTATCTTAAACAATAATGGAGAGAGTTTTCTGCACCAGAACCATTGTGGAGATCTATTCTAAGTCAGGAATACATCTCAGGCATTTCTCGTGATTTGTACTTAAAATCAAAACATGATAAATGCAAGAAACAATGAGAAGTCAATATCACTTTTTATTCAGAAACCAAAAGAAAGTGATACAAAGCTGTTCTTAAGAAAAAGAATAGTACAAGGTCAAGTCAAAAGAAGCAAGTTGAACTTTGGCATCAGAGAGCTTCTCCTCATGATTGGCCTGTACGACGGCTTCAGCCTTCCTCCGCAGCTCATCCTCAGTGGGTGCCACTTCAGCGGCTGCCTCCTTCTTCGTTCTTTCAAGAGCCTGAGCTTCATTATGGTAATTCAAAAGAGTGTCTGCGTTTTTGGCCCCAAGTATGTTAACAACGGCTTCTTCGCGAGAAAGCTGGGCCTTCAATCTCAGCACCTCCGCCTCAGCCTCGACAAGTTTCGTACGGATAAGGTCCAAAGAAGCAGTAGAGAGCTCCAGTTCTTTTCGTCTCAGATCGCTTTGTTCTCGCAAATGCGTGACTTGAAGCTCTTTTTCAGCCAGACCTCGCTCAATTGCCTCACGGCGAGTCACTTCCTCAACTTGGAGGTCAGCAAAAGTAGACACGATCTGTGTCTGAATGTCTGCATGGCTGAGGGCTTCCAAATGTTTGAGCCGGGCTTCTAAGTGAGAAATGGCTTCTGAACAACGTTCAAAGAAATGGGCATTGCCCACACTTTTGACCCCATTTAAGCCCGCTTCTAAGAGATACTTAAAAGAATCAAAGCGGCCTCGACCAGCTGTGACAACCTCGATTACCTTCCTCACGAGACTGTTTAAGTAGCTCAAGGAAATATGGAGGAAGTCAGGAGCGTCCGTTGGACTGGAAAAAGCAATGGAGGACGACTCGACGACCCCAGAAGTGGACGTGCCAAAGTATGGATTAACAAGTGATTTGGGTGTAGAAGTCGCGGAGGCAATTGAAACATTCAACTGCGAAGGACTTGAAGTCAAAGCCATCATTGTCCTCGCCGGAGACGCGCTTGGTCCGGCCTCCGTGGGCACAAGCGAGATCTTCATCAGTGCTGTAGGTGAAGCAGCTACAGTGGATGAGGCAGGCAGGGGCTGCTCTTGCATAGGAGCTGACGCCTGCACGAGCTGCTGTTCCGGAGGAGGAGTTGCGGCAGTAGTTTCAAGCAATGCGGCAGGAGGAACGATTGCCATAGGAGAACCAGGTAAATGTTGCCCTTCTAAAGGAGCCGACATCTGCGCAGGTTCTTGCTCTGAAGTAGTAGCAGCAGTAGTCCCTGGAGAAGGTGAACCTGCACGAAAAAAGGGTCGGAATGCGGAAAGAACATGCGGAAGAAGTCGAAGGAAACTAGGCTTACCGGAGATGTGAAAAGGAGTATAACCAGATACTTTATCGGATGGGACTTTGGGAGCATCGTCAAAAGTGGTGATGTCATCTATGGAATCATGCTCTTCTTCATCTTCACCATCATCCAGCATGTTGCCAACGTCAGCATCCTCATCGTCTCTATCTTCGTCAGCTGCACCACCAATCGAGGATCCTTCATAATCAACTCGCTCCTCATCATCCTGAGCCGCGGAAGGTTCCGAAAGATCTGTTCCAACAGTTGGTTTATTCATAAGTGTAACAACCACTACAGTTCATACCTTGCATGCGTTTTTTTTAAGTTATGTTTGATTCTTTGATGTCCAATGTGAATTTTGAGAGAAAAAAAAAATCGTTGCTTCCATTTGAGATGGGCCTATATGGGAATGAATGTAGTATGGTTGCTGGACCTAGACCTGGTTATCTTAATCTTTTCTTCATAGCCTCATGGTTAAGGCCACATGATAATTTACCGATCATCATGAATCATTGAGTCAATTGTTTAGGCCCAAATGTCAAAGGACCACTGATTAAGATATGCTTAAAGATATTCGTAGGATTTAGATCTTAACTTCTTAACCAAATACTCCTTATTCTAAGGAGTCTCAACAAACTTCTCCCACTCTCTCGCTATCTAAGATATCTCCTCAAATCACTTCCCACTAATCCCCACAAACCCGCCTAACTCACCAACTAACCCTCCCTTACCTGATCTATTTCTCATTTATTTAATAAACCCACAAATTCCTTTCCTCCGTGCCAATCTCAAAAACAAAAACAGTTGCTCTCAACATCCTCCTCCTCCTCTAAATCCTCGCTATCATCTAGTTGCCCATCTTCTTTTGCTCAGGTTCAAGGTCCAAGTCCTCTTTGCTCCAGCCACCACCTGGATTGCCTATTGAATAATCGATCCAGCAGCCCTTGTGGGGTGCAAGTTCTTAGGAGCATGGGACACACTCTATGATCATACTGGCAAGTATCTTGTTCCTTGATTATTATTAGTATTACTTGGATTTTTTCTTCATGCAAGCATTTTTGTTTGCTTCTTGTTGAATATTTTCATTTATGATCTCATTTCGTAGTATTCTATCATTCTTGACTTCTCTAAGAATTTGTTCTCATGCAAGCATTTTTCTTTCTTCTTCAATTCTTTTTTTTTTTCATGATCTCCTTATTTAATTCCTAGTATTCTCATCCTAGAGTTATGATAATATATGGGTGAATAAATTCGTGGTTGATATGATTTGGACTTATAGAAAATAGAGTTGACTAATTTACATATGTTTAATCGCATGATTTTTGCAATACTGCAATCCTTTAACTACTAGACTTCTCAACGTACTGTGACAGCTTCCTCTTGCTAGATACTATGGATTAATCATTCTACCCTCATGAAAGATCATGTCTCGTTAGAAATCCATTTGGTAGATGTTTATTTCATGTTGGAATTTGTCATATTGCAAACTGATTATGTCTGTTTGATTTACACGGTCACATCTTTTTGATATAGTCGGAGTCATATTCGTTTTTAGATGGAAGTCTACTTGGTCAAAGAAAGAGAGGGTACAAGGAGTTTTCTGTCATCTTAATACTAGCTTGGAGTTGGTGGGACAGTAGGATTGTAGTTTCTTTGTGGCATTACATGCCTATCTTGTTAGACAAAGTCATATCACAGTGGATTAGTAGACTAATGTTGTATATGTGCTATGTTGGTTACAAATCATGTTAAGTCATTACGAGGATCAAGGTGGTAAACTAAGGGTATATGTGAGTAGTTAAATATTTGCTAGTACTCATATAGACAGTCACAAATAAAAATTTACAATCAAGAGGGGGTTAGTGTGTACTTATAAATTTCACATCAAAGTTCAGGAGGTAGTGTACAATTATTGACAATATTGCTGGTTGTTAACATTAATGCCCCTTCCATTTAAAGAGGTGAATTTTTTGATGAGGTTGAAGAGAGGTTGCAAGTAGATACGGAGGCTATTTGAAAATCTGTTGGGGAATTCGAAACAATCAATCGAACCCTTGCCCTTCCGGACCTTGTGTTGAAAGTAGGAAAGTAGGAATAAAACCACAAATAAAGATCTAACTTGCAAAAAACAGTAAGGGAGATGAACACACGGATTTAACGAGGTTCGGCAACGTGCCTACGTCCTCGGGAGCCACACCACACAATCTTTTTATTAATTAAAGAAGAAAATACAAGCTCTCAAACAAGGGGTAAATCTCTCTGAGATTCTCTCTCTCTTTGCAGCCAAAAAGCTCTTTTTTGATGTCCTACAAACCCTAAAAACGTTTGGGTATTTATAGAATCCTGAAACAAAACAGAGTCCCAAACAGTTTAGGAAACTGTCTGGGCGATTCGCGGTCGACCGCCGTGCCAAGGCCGGTCGACCGGCCAGAGAAAAATCTGTTTACAGGGTCCTGTGCACATTTGCGGTCGACCGCAGCGGCCACGCCGGTCGACCGACCAGAGCGAAAACTTCTTCTCAGTCTCCTGCAGTGCACGCGGTCGACCGGCTCTGCCACTGCGGTCGACCGCACAGTCTTCTGACTGTTTTCTTCATCTTTTCGATTGCAGCTTTGGGTCTACACACTTAGACTAACAATCTCCCACTTGGAGACCAAAGCGCCATGGGGTATATATAGAATCCTGGTTGAAACAGATTCCTAAACAGATCAGGAAACTGTCTGGGCGATTCGCGGTCGACCGCCGTGCCAAGGCCGGTCGACCGGTCAGAACGAAATCTGTTTACAGGGTCTTGTGCACGATCTCGGTCGACCGCAGCGGCCACGCCGGTCGACCGGCCAGAGCGACCGATTCTTCTCAGTTTCCTGCAGTGCACGCGGTCGACCGGATCTGCCACTGCGGTCGACCGCACAGTCTTCTGACTGTTTTCTTCGTGTTTTCAATTGCAGCTTCGGGTCTACACACTTAGACTAACAATCTCCCACTTGGAGACCAAAGCGCCATCAACGAGGAAAAATTCTTTCTTCAATCAACATCCCGATGATTGCGCCGATCCTCGTAGTGTGGCTCCGCCTTCGTCTTCTACTCGTGAAGGCCAACTGAAGTTGCGCACAACTCCAGTTTCTCAATGGTGACTGTCTTTGTCAACATGTCCGTCGGATTTTGACTCCCCAAAATCTTCATTAAATGCAACTTTCCGTCTTCAACTAGCGAGCGTATAAAATGGTATTTAACGTCGATGTGCTTCGTTCTTGCATGATATACTGGATTCTGGGCAAGATGTATAGCGCTCTGGCTATCACAATAAAGAACTCCTCTCCCTTGCTTCAGATCCAACTCTTCCAAGCACCCGTTCAACCAGATCATCTCCTTGCTTGCTTCAGTCACCGCGACATACTCAGCCTCAGTTGTAGACAAAGTCACAATCTTCTGCAGACGTGAGACCCAGCTCACTGCTGTCGACGCTAAGGTATAAACATACCCCGTGGTGCTTCGCCTCGTTAAGGTATAAATATACCCCGTGGTGCTTCGCCTCGTATCATGATCACCGGCGAAGTCTGCATCCACGTATCCCTGCAGCACCAACTCCTTCCTCCTGAAACATAGTGGCTTGTTAGTTGTCCCTCTCAAGTACCGCATTATCCACTTCACGGCCTCCCAATGCTGCTTTCCTGGATTGCTTGCAAATCTGCTCACAACTCCCACTGCATGGGCGATGTCCGGCCTCGTGCAAACCATCGCGTACATGAGACTCCCAATGGCCGAAGAATATGGCACCCTGCTCATATGCTCTCTATCTGCATCTGTCTTAGGCGATTGCTCCTCAGATAACTTGAACTGACTTCCAAGGGGTGTGCTAACAACTTTAGCATTCTGCATGTTGAACCTCTGAAGTACCTTCTCAATGTATTCAGCTTGGCTCAAACTCAATGTCCCTTCAGCTTCATCCCTACTGATTCGCATCCCTAGAATCTGCTTCGCTGCACCCAGATCCTTCATTGCAAATTCCTTTGCTAGCTGCCTCTTCAAACTGTTTATCTCTTCTAAACACGGTCCTGCTACCAACATGTCATCAACATATAATAACAAAATAATGAAGCTGGACTCGAACCTTTTGAAATAACAGCAATGATCCGAATTGCATCTTCTGTAGCCATTGTTCTGCATGAAGTTATCAAACTTCTTATACCACTGTCTCGGAGCCTGTTTCAAACCATATAAGCTCTTCTTGAGCTTGCACACCATCTCTTCCTTTCCTTCTTCAATGAAGCCAACAGGCTGCTTCATGTAGATTTCTTCATCCAAGTCACCATGAAGAAAGGCAGTCTTCACATCTAACTGCTCAAGGAAGAGGTCTTCTGCAGCTACCAAACTCAACACCACTCTGATGGTTGTGAGTTTCACAACAGGGGAAAATATCTCCGTGTAGTCCACTCCTTCCCGCTGTTGAAACCCTTTCACTACTAATCTGGCCTTGAATCTCTTGCTTCCATCACTCTCCTGCTTGACCCGGTAGACCCATTTATTGTGCAAGGCTTTCAGAACAAACATCATCACCCCTATCTGGAAGTTCCTCTATATCCATGTACTCGGATCCACCTGTATCCGTAGTGCTGCTCCCACTGCTTTGGCTATCCTTGGCATTGTCCCTGTCCTTGTACATCACCTCCTCATTGAATATCACATCCCGGCTCCTGATGATCTTCCTGTTCTTCTCATCCCAAAGGCGATACCCGAACTCATCAATGCCGTATCCAATGAATGTGCACTTCTGTGACTTAGCTTCTAGCTTGTCCCTGACATGGTCACTGATATGAACATAAGCCACGCAACCAAATACCCGCAAGTGTGAGAGATTTATCTTCTTTCCACTCCAAACCTCCTCTGGAATCCCAAAATCTAATGGAACTGATGGCCCGTGATTAATAAGGTATGCTGCCGTATGTACCGCATCCGCCCAAAATGTCTTAGGCAGACCTGCATGTAATCGCATGCTCCGCGCACGCTCTGTCAAGGTCCTGTTCATCCTCTCTGCAATGCCGTTCTGCTGCGGCGTCCCTGGAGTAGTCCTCTCTAAGCGAATCCCATTCGTAGCACAGAACCTCTTGAACTCCTCCAGCTCGTATTCTCCACCATTATCTGATCTCAAGCACTTCACCTTCAGATCTGTCTCGTTCTCGACCATGGCCTTCCACTTCTTGAAGATCTCGAACACCTCTGACTTGTGCTTCATGAAGTAAACCCACACCTTCCTCGAGTGATCGTCGATAAAGGTGACGTAGTATCTCGAACCGCCAAAAGAAGACACACTGGCTGGGCCCCATACATCTGTATGAATCAACTCTAGCTTCTGAGCCTTAGGTGGCCTTCCACCCTTCTGGAAACTAACCCTCTTCTGCTTCCCAAAGATGCAGTCTTCACAAACCCCGACTTCCACGGTGTCGATCCCGGTTAGCTTTCCTTGTGAATGTAGAATTTTCATCCCTTTCTCGCTCATGTGCCCCAGCCTATTGTGCCACAGATCTGTACTCTCCTTGCCAGCTGCAATTGCGAGGGTGTCACTCGCATGTGAAGTGAGGTAGAGAGTTCCCGTTTTGTTGCCTCGGGCAACAACCATCGTACCGTTGGAGATCCTCCACGAATCCCCGGTGAATGTCGAAACGTAGCCTTCTGCTCCAAGTTGTCCCACCGAAACAAGATTCCTCTTCAGCTTCGGCACGTGTCTCACGTTCTTCAAGTTCCACTTAGAGCCCTTTATCTGTATCTGAACGTCGCCCTTTCCAACAATATTGCAAGGTTCATTATCCCCCAAGTATACTTTACCAAAGTCCCCTGCTACATAGTTCTGAAGTAGTCTCCTATTAGCAGTGGCGTGGAAAGAGGCTCCTGAGTCGATGACCCAAGAATCAGAATCGCTATCCATAGCAAGGATCAAGGCATCCTGCACGATATGAGCCTCCTGCTCACCCGCATCCTTCTTTGGTGCTTTACAGACCGAAGACATATGGCCCTCCTGGCCGCAGTTCCAACACTTCCCTTTGATAGACCTAACCTTCGAGTTCGGCCTCTTCTTCGCTGATTTCGACCGATTCCTGTTCTGGTTCCCTTTCTTCTGGCTTCTGCCTCTCTGCTCAAAACTTAGGGCTGAACCTGAACCTTCTGATTCGGACGATTTTCTTCTAACCTCCTCGGATAGAATCATGCTAACAACCTCATTTAGCTTCAACTTCTCTTTCCCCGCCGAGTTGCTAATTGCCGTCACACAACCTGCCCAACTACCCGGCAACTGCGATAGTAGTAGAAGGGCCTGCACTTCGTCATCGAACGTGATGTCCACGGAGATAAGTTGATCAACAATCGTGTTGAACTCGCTGAGGTGCATCGTGAAGGACCGTCCTTCTGCCATCTTGAGGTTGAAAAGAGTTTTGACTAGATGCACCTTGTTTGCTGCCGACGGTTGCTCGTACATCTTCGCGAGCGCTTCCATAAGCCCCACCGTCGTCTTCTCCTTCAGAATATTGTGGGCTACTGATTTGGCGAGCGACAACCGGATTTGCCCTAGAACCTTCCTATCTAGTACCTCCCAATCACCATCTGACTCCTCTTTCTTCTTTCCCTTTTCCTTGCCCATCAACGGGCGATACAAGTCCTTCTGGTACAGATAGTCCTCCATCTGCGACTTCCAGTAGGCGAAATCCGATCCGTCGAACTTCTCAATCTTTGATTTGCTTTCCTCTGCCATGGCTTTCACACAAATTGCTGAACGAAGCTCTGATACCAGTTGTTGGGGATTCGAAACAATCAATCGAACCCTTGCCCTTCCGGACCTTGTGTTGAAAGTAGGAAAGTAGGAATAAACCACAAATAAAGATCTAACCTTGTAAAAAACAGTAAAAGAGACGAACACACAGATTTAACGAGGTTCGGCAACGTGCCTACGTCCTCGGGAGCCACACCACACAATCTTTCTATTAATTGAAGAAGAAAATACAAGCTCTCAAACAAGGGGTAAATCTCTCTGAGATTCTCTCTCTCTTTGCAGTCAAAAAGCTCTCCTTCGACCGGTCAGAACGAAATCTGTTTACAGGGTCTTGTGCACGATCTCGGTCGACCGCAGCGGCCACGCCGGTCGACCGGCCAGAGCGACCGATTCTTCTCAGTTTCCTGCAGTGCACGCGGTCGACCGGATCTGCCACTGCGGTCGACCGCACAGTCTTCTGACTGTTTTCTTCGTCTTTTCGATTGCAGCTTCGGGTCTACACACTTAGACTAACAGCAAGTAGATACGGAGGCTATTTGAAAATCTGTATGATAACAAGGCCACTCGTCAAGTTTAACAGAAAATTGGAGAATTGTGCTTATATTAGACAATATTCCACGAATTTATAAACTGTCTAAAATTCTTGCGGAAACATAAGCGTATGTTTGTTGACGTAGGACACCTGAATAAGTTTAGGGATTATACTATATTTCTTATGTAAGTTAGATGTTGCAAGGGTAAGGATGGTTTCCTACCATCTGGAAAGCTCCACAATATCACAAGTCTACATGTTAAGTTTAGCAATTAATTTGAGGATTGTATGTATAGAATATATATTTGATGAACTGACTGACTTGGAGAAAGGCAAGCATATATTAATGGACTGGGTTATATGAATATTAGTGACAAAGCTAGTCAACAATCACAAAGAGTACAAACCATTGGACAAGAGAATTTTTGGGCTTGTGAGAATTCTTGATGTGAGATTTGTTGGGTTTCGGTTGATATCCATGAGTGGATTCTGACATATGTTATCTTGATGACTTAAGTCGAGTGATATGACATGAGTCTATGAGATTTAGATTTTTGGGTTTAACATCGTGGCCGATTATACAACCGCGTATTTGATCACCTAGTCCCATTTACTAGGTGGGTTGTGCATAAACAGATAAGCTATTAAGATATGGGTCAGAAGCATGTCCTGGTAATATCTATTTGTACTTATTATGAACTCATGAGTTTGGAAAGTTCACGTTTTACGGGATCTTGGTACTCAAGTGTCTAAATAGACAAAACTTATCTGATATTAATTTTTGGAGATCACCTAAAATATTATGATTAGGGTACAACCCGGTTTATACTTATAGTACTTATCTTGTTTGATACTGTGTTTGACATGCATGACTTTATAGATAATTGTTGCTTGATCACCTAATTGTTTTCCAATAGGAGAGACTGTGCATGAAGACGACTTCGGTTAAAAATATGATTTATAAGCGTGCTTTCATAGGAGAGACTGTGCATGAAGACGACTTCGGTTAAAAATATGATTTATAAGCGTGCTTTCATAGCATGGCTATGTTCTCGATATCGACATCCCGATATGAGATTTTTCCTTGGCTATTTACTATTATAGCATCGACTAGACGATGCACCTATCTTGATTTGGACATGTTCTGGGTCACGGTTATTGTCATAGTTTTACAGAAGTCGTTCCACGGTAACTCTGTGGTTAGTGCACAACATTTCATGCACAGTCATATAAAATTTAATCGACAAACATGGGGTTTATAAAGGGGAATTAGACGAAGAATGTAACATGTATATAAACGGGCATATGCGCATTCCTGATATCTTGAGTTATATATATACATGGGCCAAAGAGCCAATTCCTGACTTGAAGCCGTGTTCCCGGGACGGTTTACGGGGAACCGATTTATATACATGAAATTATTCTTCTCTAATTCAAATAACATGAAAAATAAGAATAATGTGTTTATATGCTTTGTGATAGATTTGGCATGCACGACATGTCCTGGATGAGGTTTTGATGATGTATATTTGTATTGCTGTGTATAGAATTTTGGGAGTTAATATTTAGAGATTTACAATTTGAGATATATGGTATATGCGAGGGTTTCCTTGTTTGGATTATTCCCTCGACGTACTCATCTCTCACGTTGTGGGTTTCTAAATCTTACCTTCCTTTAGCATGTAATTGATATCCATGTTTAGAAACTTCCTCTATAATCTTTAATTGAGTTTTCATCGTATTTTTGGTTTATAAGATAGGCATTTTCTTTATCACTGAAAATGTAGAATTTATATTTTCTTTACATCTACCACTTGTACTTACACGTGCACAATTTTTCTCATTTTACATGCTTGCTGGGAGTTTTCTGATTCCCCTGGGGTTTGCATGCCCCAGACTTGGGAATTGTTCTTTCTTCGCAGGACCAAGAGTACTTTAAGGATTAAGACCAGCGACAGTAATCACCTTCTCTCCCTTCACTCTCTCAGCTTTAGCTATGGAGTCTTTCTTGTAATCACTTGTGGTTCCAGACTAAGATGTATTTTCCTCTTTCCTACTTTGAATAGTTATGGACATGTAAGAGAACTTGTCTTTTCAGAGTTTTCTTTATCTATCTAGTTCCTTTGTTTTTAGTTACATGCTCTATATAGTAGTTCTTTTAGCAATATATCGGTATACAGGATGATCCAAAGGCGTGAATGTAACCGTATGGTTGCATTGCCGACCGAGTCACGCTCCAAATTATTGAAATTTTGGACCCGGGGCGTGACAATAAGTCCCGTTGTAGGACTAGGAATTGAATCATGAGTTTGTGACATTAAGGCTGAAGGAGAAGGGAATGGATTCTCTTCAAGACCCCCTAGTTCTAAAGCAGGAGACTCAGGGAGGTCCATCACTGGAGCAGATTCTGCATCTGCAGCCATTAATTCGTCCTCTTCGCCCTCGGGAGGATGATAAGAAGAAACTTCGCCCGATAGGGCTGGGCCATGAGAACGAAGTCCAGCTCTATGTGGCAGGCTTGCCACGGACGATTCCTGTTGTTCTTCATCAACAGCAGCTTTGATGGCATCAGCCATCAACTTAGATTTTTATTGGCCTTTGGGGGGAGAATCAACCAGAAGTTTCCGACGAATTTGTTTATCGTATTTGCCGGCTTCATCCGCTGAGAGTTTTCTCTTCTCAGCTGCTCTGGTCATGGGGGGATCAACCGCTCGTTGCTCTTCCACCGGAGCAGGCTGGGATCTTTGTTCCTCTTCCTGTCCACCCGGCTGATTCTCGATGGATAGGAACTCGTCAATCCCTCTCAAGCGAGATGTTTTGGACCCCTTCCTTAAAGCATACATATGTCTAATGTCTTTCAGGCAAGATGTATTCAAGTTGTAATTGGGAGTCTGAGAAGCGGCGTAATACCAATTGCAGAAACTTATGGAAGTGTAGGAGTTGGAAGTTTTGTGGGGAAGCTTGAAGACGGCCTTGGTACAACCTGCCACACTTATGGAAGTGTAGGAGTTGGAAGTTTTGTGGGGAAGCTTGAAGACGGCCTTGGTACAACCTGCCACAAAATAATACCAAGCCCTGGCTCCTTCATATAAATCGCCCACAACTGATAGTTGAGGACGAGGGTTCCCGACGTACAACTGATCATACCCAAATTGGCGAGCGAACCTATAGGGTTGGTAAGGTTCAATGAAACAGTTGACGCCTTGCCGAAAGATCAGGTAGCCTGGCCTGATAGAGAGAAGCCAATGGAAAACACCCTCGCTCAGCTGAGTGAATCCATTAGGACCTGCTACGTCCTGATATTCTGCGCCATAGACGCTGCCCTCGAAATCAGGGAAACAGCGGTAGATATGGAAATTGGTGTCTCGCGCTAAGATTTGGCGAATTCTAACCATGTACCCCCCTTCCCATTTCGCAGACTCTAGTCGTTGCACGAATGGGATGAATGAGTCTCCCGGGGGAGAGGCTGCACTCATCAAAGGAAGACAGTGAAGCACGTACCAAGCCATCAAATAGGTATATGGCATTGGCACCCTGGGATTGGGAGTTTTGAAAGCCTTGTGACCCTCAGACTCCACCTCTGTAATGTCAACGAAGTCCGAGGCCAACTCCCGCAATCCATACTGCAAACAACCCACCATAGCATTGAGGAGGCTCACAGGTCTCCCATGTGCCAAAAGGACAACAGGGTAGACCACCTCAATGGCAAGGGCATCGACCGGCCTAGTAGGGACGACGCAACATTTGAGCCACAGCATCAAGAACCCAACCAGCAGTGCTGTGTCAGAAATTGGAATTAGAGCTTGATAATGGAAGTTTTCAAACTCTGTATGAGCCGGGAAAACATCTTCTTTAGCCTCGTTGGTATAATGGGAGGTAGCGTTGTCAATACGAGCCTGAACTTCCTCCAAAGTACTGGTAGGCAATCGGGTCACAGAGGCTCCTTTAGTGGTCAAGTTCTGGAATAAATATTCCGCCCAAGACACTTGTTTAATGCCGCTTCCTCGAGCCCCCGTCAGCTGCATGCAAATGTGGAAGTGACACATGACTTCCCAGAGGGTGGCATAAATTTCGGGGCTGGTCTTCTTTAAAATTTTAAGTTCCGTGGATCCCGCAACAAACTCTTCGTACGGTAAATCCCCAAGAAGAAAACCCGAGACTTCATGCATCTCGTGAAGAGCGAAGCCTAACTCCCCCATAGGAGTGAAGAAAGTGCAACTCTCAGGATTATACTTCTCCAGTATGGAGAAGAAGTGAAAGTGGCTCTGGACAATCCCGAACTTAGTAGCCCGCACAGGAACCAGCAATCCAGCTCGGGCAAGAGGTGCTTCCAATTCATCCAAAACGAACTTGGTCATCCGGGTCCACCACCCCGTCACCGGAGAATGAACCCAGCCAGGAGTTCTAAATCCTTGCGCGGGAAACTCTCCTTTCTTCGCCACAAACCTCTTGACAAAGGTATTTGCCGGACTGGCCACTTCGCCAAGGGGATACTCCTTAGCAAATAAACCTGGCCGTAAAGCTGTCACCTGTCGGTTATAACCAACTGTGCGGACCCCGTGGAAAGTCAGAGTTCCGAGAGTGACCCCATCCAGATCCTTAACCAGGGGCCAATCCATACGTCTTGGGACGGAAGCACACTGGAAATAAGATATGGGGAACATCCTCTCCATATTGGGCAAGAAAAGGTTGCGGTCCCCAACTTTCCGCAGCCACTTATAGTCCCCATCATAAGCAGTGCTTGCTTCGAAGTCAACAAAGTCCCCGAAGAGGTATCCAGGTTTGACTATCAGCTTACGGCTTGGGTTTTCAAGTCGAGCGTCCGTAACCAATGTCCTAAGAGTCTCAGAAGAAGCGTGGGTGATTAATTCTACGCGACTCTTCTCCCTAATTCAGAAAACTGGGAGTTCTTGGCGCGAGCTGAAGGTCATGTTCATGTCCGCACCACCTTCATGCCCAAAATGGTGGCGAAACAGAAGGGGTTCACTGGTGTGGCGCACTGCAAAATAAAAAAAATTTAGACAAGGCAAAAGTAAAACTCAGACGCGAAGGTTGACTGCTGCGTCAGATTAGCTTGAACGCGAAGGTCGAACCTAGCGTCAAAAATCTCAGACGCGAAGGTCGAACCTCGCGTCAGAAAGTTCAGACGCGTAGGTCGACCCTCGAGTCAAAAATCTGAGACGCGGAGGTCGAAACCCTCGTCAAAAATACCAAACGACGGAGTCCAGCTCCGCGTTATTGAAACGAGTTTCCTCGTTGATCTAAAGACCAGAACTTGCCGAAGCAAGTTTAATGACCACGAAGGTCGTACTCACCGCCGATCAGTGGAAGTTAGGGCGGCACGTTCGCCTGAGCAGCAGCACGTGTCGATCCTTGAGCCGCAGCGACGTCGGACTTGGGAGGACGAGAGACCAATTTCTTGGGTGCCATAGGGTTTTATCGGAGGAGAAGAACAGTTTTCGCCGGAGATGAGAACGAAAATTTTTCGTTGGAATTTCAAGAAGAGTTGAATGACTATTGATTTGACCTCCAGCGGTCTATTTATAGACAGCTGTGACCTGTCAAATCGTAATGGACGGGATTCGAGGTCAGAATCCTGCCCAAACTCAACCCTAGCGTTCGAGTTGTTTGGGCTTCCAAACGCGAAGCTCACTATCGCGTTCAAATTTCCCAACGCTGAGCTCATCCACGCGTTCTAACTCTTAAATGCAGAAATTATCTCTGTATTTGGACCGCTATGATAGCAGCTTCTTGACTACCAAGGCTACGACACAGTCCCTAGATGAATAAAAGAAGAGCTAACAGCAATCATCAAGGCGACCAAAGCCGAGAAGAAACAAACGACTCCACTGGGGAGTCTATTTGAAAAGTACAGATAGATTATAATTAACAACATTGAAATCAAGAGCTAACAGCAATCATCAAGGCGACCAAAGCCGAGAAGAAACAAACGACTCCACTGGGGAGTCTATTTGAAAAGTACAGATAGATTATAATTAACAACATTGAAATCATCTGGCTCGATCAGACGGAATGAGCAATCGATCTATTAAATTTTGGGATCCAAAGTATTCCGAAAATTCGTCCCAGTCAACCGTGAACTTTCGAAAACTTTGGAGGGGGTTCTGTAGGCTGTCTAAAAATCACAATGGATACTTGATCCCTATCAAGCTCCGACAATGGAAGTCACAATCAGACGACTTTCTAATCACTGTATTCGCAATTCTACAATCGCTACAAACACGGCCTCATTTTTGAGATGATTGATCTTGATGGTTGCGACAACAACATGACTAATATTATATTAGCAACTATGAGAGATGCTGATGAGCAGTGTAATGATTTCAGAAATAAAAGGTTGGACGTAGTTGGTGAGTTGCTTGGTAGAGAGCTGTGGGCAAATATTCATCTAAAAACACTATGAATATTGATTCCCGTCAAGTTCCTACAACGAAAGCTACAATCAAATAGCTTTCGCGCCGACAATCGAAAGCTGCAAATGGAGGACTTTTCACATAGATCGAGAAGAGTTACAATTCAACGACACTCAAGCCACCCGCGCGTTCGTAGGGGTTCAACCAACACCGACCCCCGCGTTCCTAAACTACAACAAACCAAAACATGAGCGACCCTCGCGTTCAATGATGTTCAGCCAATACCCAACCTCGCGTCTCAATTCTAAGAGGCGACGTTGGGCTTTGAACGCCAGATTGGGCGTTTGACTCGTTCAAATACGAGTCGAACGGTTTCAGAACTGTTTCCCCACGATCTGAGGAAATCACGCCCACTTATGAGCGGATTTAGAGGGTAGTTACAGCCTTTTATCCACCTATAAAAGCTCAACAAACTCAACTGAGTTAAGGGCTGGCTTTTTGGAACGGAAGAGTTGGCAGCAGGTTGGATTCTCAGGATCTCAACCACTCAGGTTTGGTGATTCAACAGCAGCAACAGTAAAATCATTGGAGATAGGATTTTTGAATCAAATTCAGAAGATCAAATCTGAGAGGATTCTCCAACAACAGAATATCAGCTTGGTCATTAACCGAATTTTCGGTTCTAACAACTCGGTTAACAGAGTTCTAACTCGTTCAGAGTTCTTAAACTCGTTGAAGAGTTACTTATAAAGTTTTCCACAGAAGTTCATCGTTCCCATGAGATAAAAGACGGTCGGATCGTCAACGGAGAGCAAATTCGACGCGAGCAATCGAAGGAGGCATTCCATCGCTACCGAGAAGAACCCAGTTTTAAACAAAGGAGAGAATCAAATTCGTTCTCTTCTCTTTTGTAATCAAGTTGTAATCGGAATCAAAGAAATACAAGTCAATTTTCTTTTGTTCTTTTCATTGCAATTTTCCTACAAGGTTAGAAGCTACTTCTTTTTTCTCTGTAATAAATTCTTTTGTTATGCATCCAATAAGAATTTCTGTTGTGCCATAATGTTACATTTGCTATGTCTGTGTTATTTTCCATGAGGATCTGAACTAAATACATTAAAATTTTCATTGTCAATTTGCTTTAGATTATAATATTAATATTTAATTTTGATATATTTATTTTATGAAGAAGGGATATCACTTAACCTTGGTACTAAATCATCGGCGATTCTACAACATTTATCATCTGGACACTTATTATTAATATCTTTATCCACTTTCTTATTGCAGTCTTTGCAAATATAGAACCACTGCTCAACTCTATTATAAATGGTAGTTGTTGTTGCCTTAAAGGTGCGATAGTATGTTTGTATATTGGTAAATTATTCTTAGGTTTAATCGTATGAATTTTGGAGTAGGTTTTCTAAAATCATACCTCTTTCAAAGGTTATAATGGTTGTATATATATATATATTATTAATTTGAATTTCTGTTGTATTTATAAAGAGCCTTAATGGAGATACTTTTGTCTTGGCAGCTTACTCTAAAAGAGCGCTGCATATTACCTTTAAAATGTAATAATTTTTCTTTACGGTGTTATATGGATGTTTGCTTGGTTTACTTACTATTCTCTTATTTCTTTAGTAAGTTGTATCTTTGGATTGATACATATTATTGACGCAATTTACGATGACATGCATATCTCCTCTATAAAATTAAGACAGATATAAGGTGAATTTTATATTTAGTGGCCTTTAATAAGAATTTTACTAATGAAATATACTACCTTCATACTTAGAGATCTTGAATTCTAATAGTGCTATTACATCATTATATTTGATAGTGTCTTTAAGAATTGATCATTCGTTAGTAGTCATACCCCTAAATAAAGTCACACGCAGGGTCGTGATACTATATAAGAAAAAGAAAATTGCCGATTTAATATTTTTTGCTTACGCAAAGTATAGTAATTTTTCTTTTATCTTCTATGAAGAATGTTTCTTTGATGAGCACAAAGTTGTTCAATATATTCTTCAGGGGGTATTCAGTCAGTGTTTCTTTGATAAATATAACTTATGTTAGTGTTAATTGAAGTGATTCATGGACGTTCCGAATTTCATTTGAAATGAAAACTGCTTGATTCTTTTGAATGATATCTCTAAATTTTCTAATAGTTCTCCATACATAAATCTTTATAATTTTTTATCTAATAAATATTATTACCAGTAGAGATTGATATTTATAAATTATAATCAATTAATGTTAAACTATTATATTATAGTCTTTTATCAGTTTTTTGTCATTTAGTCTTCTATCAATTAATGATAATTATGTATTTTTGGTATTCTAACATATTGGTAAAATTATATGCAGTTACTTTAATTTATACAATAACATTAATTTTTAATCTATCATATATTTTTTAAATTTTTATTATTTAATTGGATATTTTTAATCTGTTATTATTACTATTTTCTACCAGTATCAACTTGACTATTTTCAGATTCTAAAAGGGATAGTAAACCTTAAATTATAAGTTATATTTATATATATTAATGAAAAATATCACACAATTATTCTTTTCTTTGCCAAGTTCTAAATTTTCAGCTTTTTATTTTGTGTAATTTTAAACTTTTGAGAGTATTTTGTCTAATTTTCAAAACTTTTTGCTTTTTTTTTGTAATACTTCATGTAATAAACTGATAGTATGGAGATGTTTCATATATTTTATTAATCTTATTTAAATTGTTGAGCTATAGATAGTTCATGGGGTTTTAGGATATGATATAAGTATGATTAGTATAGATTATAATTTAAATTAAATATTTAAAATAGTACAGTGTAATTTTGACTATGGAAAGTTTTTCCTGAACTCGTACTTTTAAAGAGAGTATGATTTTTTATTTTTCTTAATTTTTCTTTTTTATAATTTTGAGAATGACTTTTGTCTCTTTACTTTGTTTGGTGGATTTTGTGAATATCTCATCCACATTATGTACATTTGTAGGTCTACGTTGTTCCCGGGTTCAACCTTTGGGATAGACATTATTTATCTCATTAATTAATTTGTTTTTTACATATACGCCCTTCATTTTGTAGACATTTATAAATTTGGTATTTAATAATTTTATTTAGATTTACATTTCAAATTATATTGTATCATTATCTTCATACTATGTATATCCCATAAGAATTCACCAATTTATCGACTTACTCTTACTTAATGAAATAATATTTGAATTCCAAGAGTATTTTTGTCTACCGAAAGATTTTCCCGAACTTGTGCTTTTAAAGGGAGTATGATTTTTTTCCTAAATTTTCTTTTTTATAATTTCGAGAATGACTTTGTCTCTTTAATTTGTTTGGTGGATTTTGTAAATATCTCATCCAAATTATGTACATTTGTAGGTCTACGTTGTTCCCGGGTTCAACCTTTGGGATAGACATTATTTATCTCATTAATTAATTTGTTTTTTACATATACGCCCTTCATTTTGTAGACATTTATAAATTTGGTATTTAATAATTTTATTTAGATTTACATTTCAAATCACATTGTATCATTATCTTCATACTATGTATATCCAATAAGAATTCATCAATTTATCAACTTACTCTTATTTAATGAAATAATATTTAAATTCCAAGGGTATTTTTGTCTACAGAAAGATTTTCCCGAACTCGTGTTTTTAAAGGGAGTATATGATATGATATGATATATATGAGTATGCTTAGTACCAAGTAATAAACTTAATGTTTGGTAAAGAGGTGGTTTATCCCCATACACTCACGGAACCACATTCATATAAATACACATGGGTTAAATAATTAGAATTAGTGAATTATAATGTGCCATCTCACTACGCACTAAGTATATCCTTTCTTTTTTTTTGGATTTGTTTTGTTTCATTATCGCATTATACTCAGAAAGTGATCCCACTCATTAGTGCACTGATTATTATGATAAAGGAATGTGCAGGAAAGAGCCAATCAAAATGGAAATCTAGCTAATGCAATATAGTAGTTAAGCCCTTTCTAAAAGTGCCATTCCTACTTCTATCAATACTGATATAACTTCAATGATCTTAATAATATTATTTAAGTGTTTTTGACACCAATTCTGTTTAAAGTGTAGCTTTTAGTTCAAGAAAGCCATGAGGTGAGACTAGTCCAAGTTGGACACAATTAGTTAGATTTATGCTTAAATATGTTTGAACTCACAACTTAAACATGATTAATTTTTTTTAGTCAACTGAGTCCAAGTAGATTAGCCTAGCATATTTTCGTTAATATGAGCCTTTTCAATCCCGCAAAAGGGTATCAGAGCTCATGGTTCAATGAGGCTTTTATGAATCCTTTGTTTGCTCATCAGTTACTTCTTAAGGTGACACAGACGTGAAGTTACATACTATCACGCTTGTACGGGGACTTATCTAGAGTTAAGAGTCCATTGAATTTGAGCCAAGGTGGAGAGTTGTTAAGAAGTATCTCTCATCCATCCAGTTGAAGTATAGCCATGATTAGGAAAAAAAAAAGTGAGGTGGGAATTAATCCTGCTTTGAAGAATAAACTAGATAAATATATCGTTAAATGTGTACTTGGACTTGTGACTCAAACAAGATTAATTCTTTTGACTTATTTATGACAAAGTAGATTAACCTAGTCCATAGCATAAATCTTGATGTTCATTAAAACAACCCCTGGATCTTCAAATTTGAGTCAGTCATTGCGTAAAATTTTAAAATTCCTAGAATATCCCCAAGTGCTTAATTACAATGACAAAAATTTCGAACTAATACATTTTTCTTAATTAACATAATAACTATAATTAAGCACTTCAATGTGTTTTAGGCAATTTAAAAATAAGACTATGACTTACAGAACATTTTGAGAATATTCCCTATATTAACTATTGGCGGGGTGGGGATGGAGGATGGGGGGTTACAGACTAACTCAATGTTAAGATTTGAGGGGCATTTCAATAAATAACAATGATCCGAGGGGTAAATTAATAAATTTGAAAGATATTTTTGGGTGGGGGTGTATTGGCCAAAAGAAACCGCATCATTAATTTGAAATTGTTGGTGCCGTGTTCATATATATATATATATAAAGCTCAAAATGATAACCATTATCATCGATCTTCTGTCTCAGAACTCCATGGATCAATGTTATGCCAAAACCATGGAAGAGAAAAAGCCATATATTGCTATGATCATAGTTCAAATCATATTTGCAGGCATGGCCGTAGTCTCCAAAGCTGCATTCAATGGAGGCATGAACACATTCGTCTTCACATTCTATAGACAAGCAATCGCTACCCTTGTCTTATTGCCTCTGGCTATAATATTCGAAAGGTAATTTTTTTTTTATTAATTTGATCAATTCTTTAATTATCTTTTTAGTCTTGATGAAACTTATGTGATGCTTAGGAGAAGTTCCCCTCCGTTGCCGTTCAAATTGATGTTCAAGATTTTCATGGTTGCACTTTTCGGGTACAAAATTTGTTTAAACGTACTTTTTTCGGTAAATTTTGAAGGAATTGTGTCCTTTAATCGAATGTGCAATTACTAATTATGAAATTGGACATTTAATGGAGATTTACAATCCGGTTATTTTAGGTAGTCATAGTGCTTTGCTAGAAGCCAACTATGATTTATGGACTTTATGTTATAAAGTTCATTGTTATTATAATTGGGTCCTACGAGGTCACAACCTAAGAGTTTATGGACTGGATATATTGGGAGAATTATTATATAAAGTATATAATATAAAGTTATATAAGATATAACTTCAAAATAGAGTTTATTAATAATAAGGAGTTATTGTTAAATAAAGGATAAATTTATTTATAAATGTTATAAAAGATAATATTTAATTATAGAATTAAATATGACTTTAATTTGTGGATTATAAATAAGAGTGGTTTTTCTTTTAGAAACTCTAATCCTATTCCACTTTCTCTATATACGTGAAAGTGTTACTACTTTCTCTCCCCCCCAAAAAAAAAACCTATCATCTTCAACCTAGCAGTTGATTTCTAAGGATCCAGATCTTTGCTCGGTTGGATCAACTAGAGGAGTTTTCAAGTGAGACTCTCAATCTCTCCATTAGAGAAGGCTTTGAACACGCATCAAGAGGTAATCGTTTTTCCTAATTCTTAATCCAATTGATTTATGCAATAGATCTTTCGTTTAGATGTTAAGAAAACGTTTCCTGCAATTCCGCTTAGAGCATCTAAGATCCTACAGTGGTATCAGAGCCTCTTGCATAAATTAATTGGATCAAATTTTAATCTTACAATTTGATGCATGTTCATGATCGATTTTTTAGATTCAATAAGAATAGATCTGATGTTTGGATTAATGCATAATAAATATGATTTATTTTATAAAATATTTAATATTTTATTTGATAAATAAAGACTTAATTGTTCTATAAGATCTATAGATATCTTATTTGGTTAATTTTGAATTAACATAAATATTTGATTCTATTTCTTGGCAAATTACTAATTAATATTAGATATTAATTCCATTCACAGTCTTATTGAATTAAAATAATGAGAAATCGTTTCTAATTTTAAATAGTTAATATGATTAATTATTTATGCTTTTTATTTGGATAAATTGCATGTCTTACTTGAAGAACATTTCATATATGATTATTACATGTATGTTTAATATTATAATATTATTGCATGTGGTGACTAGTATGGCCCAAATTAGGATAGATAAATACGATCTGCGCATCGTTATGTTTTTATTGTACACGATCTGCGTATCGTTATGTATTTTTGTAATTTAAATTTATGCAAGAGAGTTTATTCAAATTTATGTAACACAAGAAGAAGAAGATCCTATGATGACTAAAGGATGGTGATCCAGAAAGTCAAGACTATCGAAGATTAGATCTCTTTAGGGGCCATACTAGGATCCAAATTTTTATTATTGCATTATGTGAATGTTTTATTATCTCTTGCCTTGCATGAATGCTTGTTTATTTAGTTCGCTTATATATAGACAACCATTACATGCTAAAAGTCCCTTAAAAGAATATTGAGATTATGCCTTTCCATGTCATAACCATGAGGCCCTTGGAATTCGTTGGATAGTTTTCGCCCTAGCGAGGTGTCCTTCCTTGACCTTGGGATAGTGCGGGTATGTCTAATAGGGGCATGCTGCCTTGATATGGTTATACTCAACAAGAGGCCAAAAGACTTAGTTTTAGATCTTGAGGCATAAGGATGAGTTAACATATGATGTGGCCATCAACCAAGAATTATAAAGTGTTATAATTAGTAAAGCATTTACTTACCTTGATTACATGAGATTTGGGGAAGTGCCTTAGTACGCTCAAGTTTCATCTAAGATAGGATCTTGGAATTATTTTACTCACAAGGGACAATATTATATTGAGTAGAATATGCAATAACTTGTTATTTAGAACATGTCTAAAATAAAGTTTTTTTTTGCATTTCAAGCATAATTTATCTGCATATTTCAATTTCTGTTTTGTAGTTACTATGTCTACTGAACACCTCAAATTCACGCTCCGCTCAATTGTTGAGAAAAACAAGTTGAACGACACCAATTTTCTTGATTGGGAACGAAATCTGAGAATTATTCTCAGGTCTGAGAACCAAGAGGATGTCCTAGAAACACCCATCCCAGAGCTGATTGTCAACTCATCTGATGAGGATAAGGCACGTCACAAAACAATATGCGAGAGGTCAAGGAATGTTACTTGCCTCATGCTGGATGCCATGGAACCGGGTCTTCAATAGAGGTTTGAGGATCAGGATGCCTATATAATTATGAGAAATCTTAGAGATCTCTTTAAGGAGCAGGCCAGGATTGAGAGGTATGAGACCCTTAAGTCCATATTGCAAAGCAAGCTCGAAAAGGGGAAACCAGTGGGGCCACATGTTTTCCACATGATAGGCCTGTTTGACAGGATGGCTCGACTTGGGAACCCTTACAATGTTGAGATGGCTACGGATATGATCCTGTATTCCTTACATGATGGATTTGCCAATTTTAGGTAGATGTATCACATGGGAGCCATGGGTAAGACCCTCAATGAGCTGCATGCTATGCTCAAAACTGCAGAGCAAAATGTCTTGGTTGAACCTAGGAAGGATGTTCTTACGGTCAACAAAGGGAAAGGGTTTAAGAAAGGGCCACAGAAGAAGCAACAGTCCCAAGGGAAGGGCAAGACAGTTGTTCCACCTAAGGGAAACACACCTAAAATAAAGGTGGCTGCTGAGCATGACTGCTTCTACTGCAAGGCTAAGGGGCACTGGAAGAGAAACTGCCCCAAATATCTGGAAGATAAGAAGAGGGGTGCCTCTGCTTCAGGTATTTACGTCATTGAAATCTTATCAACTAACTCCAATTCTTGGGTATTAGATACCGGTTGTGGTTCTCACATTATTTCGAATGTGCAGGGACTACGAAATAGGAGACGGTTGCAGAAGGGTGAGATAGATCTTCGCGTTGGAAATGGAGCAAGAGTTGCTGCACTTGCCATTGGAGATTATAGTCTACCGCTACCTTCTGGCTTGGTTTTAGAACTTTATAATTGTTATTTTGTTCCTTCTATTACTAAGAATTTGATTTCAATTTCAGTTTTGAACCTTGAGGGTTATAATTTTGTCATTAAGGATTCTTTTTCTATTTTTAAGAATGATATCTTTTATGCTCAAGCCCATATGAATAGTAGTGGACTATACATATTGGATCTCAAATCTGAAGTTTATAACGTTGATACAAAACGGCAAAAGTCGAATGACATAAGTGAAGCCAATCTATGGCATTGTCGCCTAGGCCACATTAGCATTAAACGCATGAAGGAACTCCAAACAGTTGGTAGCCTAAAGTCATTTGATTTAGAATCATTTGAAACATGTGAATAATGTCTAATGGGTAAGATGACAAGGTCACCTTTCAAAGGTACAAGTGAAAGGACTACTGAGCTCTTAGCTCTCATACATACCGATGTGTGTGGACCTATGAGCATAGAAGCTAGGAGAGGCTATCGATACTTCATTACATTTACTGATGATTTTAGTAGATACGGGTATATCTACCTAATGAAACATAAATCTGAGTCTTTTGAAAAGTTCAAAGAATTTCAGCATGAAGTTGAGACACAAACAGGCAAGAAGATAAAGGCACTTCGATCAGATCGAGGGGGTGAATATCTGAGCCAAGAATTCGACCATCATTTGAGGAGTTGTGGTATTCTAACACAACTGACTCCACCAGGTACACCACAACTGAATGGTGTGTCTGAGAGGAGAAACAGGACATTGTTAGACATGGTCCGCTCAATGATGAGTTTTGCTGATCTTCCTACATCCTTTTGGGGTTATGCCCTCACTACCGCTGCGTTCACACTAAACAGGACTCTGTCCCGATCAGTTGACAAGACACCACATGAGATATGGTTTGGGAAGCCTCCCAGCTTGTCATTTCTGAAGGTTTGGGGATGCGAGGCTTATGTAAAGCGTTTACTATCTGATAAGCTCGCACCCAAATCAGACAAATGCTTCTTTATAGGTTACCCCAAGGAAACGAGGGGTTATTATTTCTACAATCCCGTTGAGAACAAAGTGTTTGTTGCTCGGGATAGTGTCTTTTTGGAAAAGGATTTCTTTTCCAAGAAGTCAAGTGGGAGAAATATTCAGCTTGATGAGATTCAACCTGAGCAACAAACCCTACAGCATGAGGACATAGAAGATGTCATAGAGGAACTTGATTTTGGAGGCGTACCCTCTCAAAGGGAAACCACTCATATTCAAGATGCAATTCCTCAGGTAGATGAAGCACCCGAGGTCCCACATACTGATGTGGTCAATCCTCCTGCTAAAGTCTCTCCAGCTGTTGGACCACTTTGGAGATCAAACAGGCCAAGGCGGCAACCTAGACGATATGAGGATTTCGTCTTGAATGCTAGCATTGACGTTCTACTTTTAGAGAATGATGAGCCTGCTACCTATAAACAAGCAATGGCGAACCCCGACTCCGAAAAATGGCTTGAAGCCATGAAATCCGAAATGGACTCCATGTCTGAGAATCAAGTATGGGACTTGATAGATTTGCCTGATGGGGTAAAACCCATTGGATGCAAATGGGTCTTCAAGATCAAGACAGACAAGGATGGAAATGTTTCTGTCTACAAGGCAAGATTAGTTGCCAAAGGATTTAGACAAGTTCATGGTATTGACTATGATGAAACGTTCTCACCGGTTGTTATGATCAGGTCCATTAGGATAATCCTAGCAATTGCCGCTTATTATGATTATGAGATATGGCAAATGGATGTCAAGACCGCTTTTCTAAATGGATATTTAGAAGAAAATGTATACATGATGCAACCAGAAGGTTTTGAGGATCCAGAGAATCCTAGGAAAGTATGCAAGCTTAAGAAGTCTATCTATGGACTTAAGCAAGCATCCGGGAGTTGGAATCTTTGTTTTGATGAAGTGGTCAAAAAGTTTGATTTCATCAGATGTGAAGAAGAGCCATGTGTTTACAAGAAGTTTAGTGGGAGCAAAGTGGCCTTCCTGGTTCTATATGTGGATGACATATCACTCATTGGAAATGATATTCCTATGCTGGAGACAGTCAAGGAATGGCTTAAGAAGTATTTCTCAATGAAGGATCTAGGAGAGGCAGAGTACATATTAGGCATTAAGATCTATAGAGATAGGTCTAAGAGGCTTATTGGTCTAAGTCAAGGAACTTATATAGATAAGGTCCTTGCTAGATTTAATATGGTGAATTCTAAGAAAGGATTCCTTCCTATGCAACATGGCTTACGTCTTAGTAAAAGCCAGTGTCCTAAAACACCAGGTGAAATTGAGAAAATGAGTAGGATTCCCTATGCCTCAGCCATAGGATCCATCATGTATGCTATGACTTGTACTCGCCCAGATGTTGCGCACGCTTTGAGTATGTGCAGCAGATACCAATCAAACCCTGGAGAGGCACATTGGTGTGCAACCAAGAACATTCTAAAGTACTTGAGAAGAACTAAGGATAATGCCTTAGTGTATGGAGGTGATGACGAGCTGATCGTCAAGGGCTACACTGATGCGAGTTTCCAGACAGATAAAGATGATTTTGAATCTCAGTCTGGATATGTCTTCATTCTGAATGGAGGAGCCGTCAGTTGGAAGAGCTCAAAGCAAGGGACAATAGTAGATTCTACAACAGAAGCAGAGTACATTGCTGCTAGTGAAGCAGCTAAGGAGGCGGTCTAGATTAGACAGTTCATAGCTGAGCTCGGTGTTGTTCCTAGCACTTCTAGAGCAATTGACGTCTATTGTGACAACAATGGCGCCATTGCTCAAGCCAAGGAACCTAGCTCTAGCTCCAGATCCAGACACGTCCAACGGAAGTACCACTTGATCAGACACTATGTTGATAGAGGAGACGTGAGGATGTGCAAAGTGCACACTGACGACAACATTGCAGATCCTTTGACCAAGCCCTTGCCTAGGCCCAAGCATGATAGTCACACTCGGGCCAAAGGGCTCAGACACATTGGAGAATTATTTTGAAATATTTTCGTTTTATGATAAAACTTGTTTATTGTTATTACAGACATTTATGCTTGATTTATATATATGAGTATCATATTATTATTTAATCACTGCTTGGGATTAGATAAAGTATCCGAATAATTTAATAATTATCAAATGGGCTCATCAAAACTGTTTTGGTAAATGAAACCCCATTAAGTGAACTGATATTATAAAATTATTAGTTGTTCATGGTCTGAGTCATTAACTAGGATACAAATGACTTAATTCAAGACCATATTGTGAGATTGATTGATAACACCGGGTTTCATGTGTTATAGGGACATGGAGATGTCTAATCGATTACATAGGTATGTATGGTGGTACATATCGGACAGACCTATCATAGAACTCTTCAAGTTCTTTCTGCATAGTTCTAGGATTATTCATGATTAGTGAGTTCCTTAGACATGAGTATGATATAGTCATCATTTGACTGCTGGTATGTCTTTGACGCTGCCAAACGCTGACCGTATAACAGGCAGTTATAAAAGTAGTGATTGGGATTGCCAAAAGTTGAGTGGGAGATATAGTCTTACAAGATTGAATATGTCCTCCTATTCCATGTATACCATGATACATTTGGAAAGGAACGGTGTCTCGGCCACTTGAAGAGTGAGAACTGTGAAAAACGCATGGCCATGCTCAGATGGATTATTAGTAATCATTTGTACTGACAGTTCGATCTCAAGAGTTCAAGAAACATATTTGGCGATAAAGATGAGTTTCATCATATAGTCAAATAAGACATTAAGTGACAAAGGAATTTTAACATTGCACACTTGTTTCAAGGACAAGTGGGAGATTGAAGGAATTGTGTCCTTTAATCGAATGTGCAATTACTAATTATGGTATGGGACATTTAATGGAGATTTACAATCCGGTTATTTTAGGTAGTCATAGTGCTTTGCTAGAAGCCAACTATGATTTATGGACTTTATGTTATAAAGTTCATTGCTATTATAATTGGGTCCTACGAGGTCACACCCTAAGAGTTTATGGACTGGATATATTGGGAGAATTATTATATAAAGTATATAATATAAAGTTATATAAGATATAACTTCGAAATAGAGTTTATTAATAATAAGGAGTTATTGTTAAATAAAGGATAAATTTATTTGTAAATGTTATAAAAGATAATATTTAATTATAGAATTAAATATAACTTTAATTAGTGGATTATAAATAGGAGTGGTTTTTCTTTTAGAAACTCTAATCCTATTCCACTTTCTCTATATACGTGAAAGTGTTACTACTTTCTCTCCCAAAAAAAAAACCCTATCATCTTCAACCTAGCAGTTGATTTCTAAGGATCCAGATCTTTGCTCGGTTGGATCAACTAGAGGAGTTTTCAAGTGAGACTCTCAATCTCTCCATTAGAGAATGCTTTGAACACGCATCAAGAGGTAATCGTTTTTCCTAATTCTTAATCCAATTGATTTATGCGCAATAGATCTTTCGTTTAGATGTTAAGAAAACGTTTCCTGTAATTCCGCTTAGAGCATCTAAGATCCTACAAATTTACCCTTTCTTTTTCTTGGGTTTTTTTTGTAATGATTTTATTTGAATTTAGGTACACAATCAATTTAAACATGCACAATATCGCCATTAAACTCACTTCAGCAACAGTGACTTCAGCAACTTCAAATCTCATTCCTATTTTCACTTTTGTTCTGGCACTTTTATCTCGGTAATTTAGATTTTACATAAACAAATCAAATTTCAAATTTAATGTTCAAACAGAGAAATAATTTATCGCTTTGATGGATATTACAGGGTGGAAATTATCACGATCAAGACTTGCTCAGGAATTGTAAAGGCAATTGGAGTAGTAATTTGTTTAACGGGAGCTATGGTTATTGCATTTTACAAGGGCCCTCATTTGAACTCATTCATCCATCATCATCCAATTCTCCATGGAAGTAGTCAGAATGATTCTAAAATTACTCACAAAAAATGGATAATTGGTACTTTTCTCATGGTGTTGGCTGCATTTTGTTGGTCTTCATGGCTAGTGTTATTGGTATATAAAATTGTTCAACCTCCGATCTTAACTTAGGGTTAATTAATTACTAATAGACCCCATTGCTTTTGCCTAACTGGAGATATACCTCATGTGGTTGTATCGTTACAGACAGATCCGCCGAGTGAATTTTTTTGACTCTTTTACTCTCAGAAGGTCTAGTCATCGAAAACTAGTTTTCTCCAGATCTTAGGGAAAAGAGTAGAAGAAAATTCGCACACTGGTCTAACTGCGACAATGGAACTACAAGGAGACTATTCGTAATTTAGCGATAGTATCGGGTGTCTATCCGCAATTTTTCCCTTGACTTATTAAGATACCGAATGGATTATATTTCTGTTTACAGGGAATAATATTGAAGGAATATCCATCATGGATTTGGTCCACTGTTCTTTTGAACCTCTTCAGTACAATTCAATGCTTTATTGTTGCCATTACAACCGAGAGGAATTTGAACAAGTGGAAGCTACACTGGGATGAAGAACTTCTTGGAGTAGTATACAGTGTAAATGATTTCAAGCGCATACCTATTTATTTTCCCTTCAAGATTGATTATGATGTGAAATATGCATGTATCTCTTAAGTACGACTACGGAATTTGATGCAAGTGTGAATTTCACAGAACCCCCTGAATTTTTTAGGCTTCCCGAGAAACCTGCGTGAACTCTTTTTCCCCACCTGGGCCCATGAAGTTTGGGGTATCTCACAAAACTCCCCTAAACTTTTAAAAATTTCCCACGTGGTCAAGAATCAATTATTCCTACACAATCAAATAATGGCCGATGACGACATTACCACAGTTAGGGGGTCTGTAGGGAACATTGAAAGTTTAGGAGGTTTGCAAGATCCCTCAAATTTCAAGGGGTTTGGAGGGAAAAAAGCTCAGGAGAACTTTGTGGGAAACCCCCATGAAAATCACGGAGGGTTTTGTAAAACTGTCCCATTTCCTCCTGTAGGGTGATTATAGGGTACGATATGCTTTAATTTTAGGGAAAATTGCTTGGGGGAACCAAAATAAATTGGGTCATTCATCCCCACCCCAAGCCCAAAAAGCATAACCCAAAAGCCCTTATACTGATAAAGGTGTGCAAGTAACCCCCAAACCCATTAGCCAATAAATTCATTCCTAAATTACCCTTCCCTCTTCCTATGCAGGTTATTTTCACATTTTCTCTTCCTCCACCGCCAGCCCCACTCCTCCTCCGGCCTCATCCCCTCTCCTCCACCGCCGACCGTCGGCCCCACTACTCCACCGCCGCCCGCCGGCCCCCCTCCTCCTCCGGCCCCATCCCCTCCCTCTCCCCCTCCTCAATCAAACGTCGAGCATGGATGAAGATGAAGAGCTACACTGTGGGATCTCTACCTAAAACATTCTACATCCCCAACTTCATCACCCAATCTGAGCAAGCCCATCTCCTCCATCAAGTAATTTCCCTTTTTTTTTGCTTTGGTTTTTATTTTCTTAAAATTTATATGGGTCTGTAAACCCTAATTTTGGATGTAACTGAAATTGAGATGTAGATGTAACTGAAATTGAGGATTTGGGGCTTTTGATTGGATTTGGCGGCAAAGAGGGTGTCGATTTTGTAACTTGAATCATGGAATCAAATCAAAGCTTGATTGTGATTCTCTTTTGTGTTTGAGCCCCCTTTGTGTTTATTGTTGTGGATTTCTTTGGTTTTGCTCGTTTCAATGAATTGATGAATTACTCATGTTATTTTTTTTTTAATTTTAGGTGTTAGAAGTTAGTCGGCAAGCCTTGATGGGAGAGGAATTAATGAAAAACCATGGCTTTGTCTTGGGGAGCAACTCGAATGAGGAGGAGGAGGAGGAGGTTGAGAAGGCAATGAGGCAGATGTAGATGTGTGGGCTTAGATTAGGGATGGGGAGGATGGTGCAGATTCATTCGAGCCCGTCCGATCAGAATATGCACAGTTCTTGGGGCTCTGCTGTTGATGATGATGAGAAGGAGAACAAAAAATATTTTCGATCGAATCTTGTAGATTTCTCAAGGGATGATGACGAGGAGGAGAGCAAAAGACGAGTTCTTTTTCTCTTTTTAATTCAACTTCGTATTATTCTATATGCAAGTTCACGTCGTTTGCGAATCTACAAATGGAATCTCTTCCAATGTGGTTATTAGTATAGTTGGTTTTGTGCAAATTTGTCGTTTGGACGGTTAACAAAGTTCATCGGTTTGTAAAATTTGATAAGGAAATGGAAGTCAACTTGTTTAATTTTTCTATAAAATTCTTTTGTTGTTTATACGTGACATTTAGGTGTTGTATGTGATATTTGGGTGTTGTATGTGATATTTGGGTGTTGCTTGTGACATTTGTTGTTTATACGTGACACATTCACTATCAACAAATTACAGCCAAATATCACATACAACACCCAAATGTCACGTACAAATAACAAATGTCACAAGCAACACCCAAATATCACATACGACAGATATAAGTCACATCTAATATAGTCATTCCACATGTGACAAATAAGCATATCATGTGATATTTCAATGATATACGGGTTGTATGCGATATAAGTCACATCTAATAGAGTCATTCCGCATGTGACAAATGAGCATATCATGTGACAAATAAGCACATGTGGAATGACTCTATTAGATCTAAATATCACATACAACAAATTACAGCCATGTGTCACGTATAAACAAATTACAGTCATGTGACAAATAAGCACATTCACTATCAATAAATTACAGCCAAATATCACATACAACACCCAAATATCACGTATAAACAATAAATGTCACAAGCAACACCCAGATATCACATAAAACACCCAAATGTCACGTATAAATAACAAATGTCACAAGCAATACCCAAATATCACATACAACACCCAATCGTCATGTATAAACAACAAATGTCACATAAAACAACATATGTGACATGAATCTGTTATATGTCACATGAAACTATCTTATGTTACATAAACAAGTGTAATAAATCATATAAATATTAAAAACTTGAATAACGTAGCAAATATCATATATTAACTACAAATATCACATAAAGGACACATGGATATTAATATGTGATATTTGTAGTTAATCATGGCATTTGTCCTGATATGTATTGTTTAAGAGCCCAAGATTTTCTCATAAAAGGACACCTGGAGCAATTCTAAGATGGCTTGTCACATGAAGGACAAACAGAATTTTATAGAAAAATTAAACAAGTTGACTTCCATTTCCTTATCAAATTTTACAAACCGATGAACTTTGTTAACCGTCTAAACGACAAATTTGCACAAAACCAACTATACTAATAACCACATTGGAAGAGATTCCATTTGTAGATTCGCAAACGACGTGAATTTGCACATAGAATGATCCGAAGTTGAATTAAAAAGGGAAAAAGAACTCGTCTTTTGCTCTCCTCCTTGTCATCATCCCCTGAGAAATCTACAAGATTCGATCGAAAATATTTTTTGTTCTCCTTCTCATCATCATCATCAACAGCAGAGCCCCAAGAACTGTGCATATTCTGATCGGACGGGTTCGAGTGAATCTGCACCATCCTCCCCATCCCTAATCTAAGCTCACACATCTACATCTGCCTCATTGCCTTCTCAACCTCCTCCTCCTCCTCCTCCTCATTCGATTTTCTCCCCAAGACAAAGCCATGGTTTTTCGTTAATTCCTCTCCCATCAATGCTTGCCGACTAACTTCTAACACCTAAAATTTAAAAAAAAATATTTAACATGAGTAATTCATCAATTCATTGAAACGAGCAAAACCAAAGAAATCCACAACAATAAACACAAAGAGGGCTCAAACACAAAAGAGAATCACAATCAAGCTTTGATTTGATTCCATGATTCAAGTTACAAAATCGACACCCTCTTTGCCGCCAAATCCAATCAAAAGCCCCAAATCCTCAATTTCAGTTACATCTACATCTCAATTTCAGTTACATCCAAAATTAGGGTTTACAGACCCATATAAATTTGAAGAAAATAAAAACCAAAGCAAAAAAAAGGGAAATTACTTGATGGAGGAGATGGGCTTGCTCAGATTGGGTGATGAAGTTGGGGATGTAGAATGTTGTAGGTAGAGATCCCACAGTGTAGCTCTTCATCTTCATCCATGCTCGACGTTTGATTGAGGAGGGGGAGAGGGAGGGGATGGGGCCGGAGGAGGAGTGGGGCCGGCGGTCGGCGGTGGAGGAGTGGGGCCGACGGTCGGCGGTGGAGGAGAGGGGATGAGGCCGGAGGAGGAGTGGGGCTGGCGGTGGAGGAAGAGAAAATGTGAAAATAACCTGCAGAGGGAAGAGGGAAGGGTAATTTAGGAATGATTTTATTGGGTAATGGGTTTGGGGGTTACTTGCACACCTTTATCAGTATAAGGGCTTTTGGGTTATGCTTTTTGGGCTTGGGGTAGGGATGAATGACCCAATTTATTTTGGTTCCCCCAAGCAATTTTCCCTTAATTTTATAAAGTACTATCCTAGTGAATGTTTATTTGCCGCTAGGAGACATGTTTCCTTCTTCTTCCCCTTCTCTTTTTTGTTTTTTTTTTTCCGGAAGTGCAAGTGTAGTTGTGAATATTACGAATACATATAATTTTGTCAGGTAAATTTCACATAATCCCCGAAACTTTAGCCCATTTTGAAAAGACACAAAGACTTTTAAAAATGTCACATAACACCCAAACCATCATCTAGACTTCACCATAATCTTCAAGTTTTGTCAGTTTAATCAATATATATATATATAGTCATTTAATTACTTGCATCAACGATCATGACTGCAATGAGCTCAAATTTGACAATATTGCAGGGTGTGTTGGTCACACACACATATATATATATATATATATATATATATATATATATATATATATAGTCATTTAATTACTTGCATCAACGATCATGACTGCAATGAGCTCAAATTTGACAATATTGCAGGGTGTGTTGGTGTCGGCACTTGTGTTATACTTGCAAACTTGGTGCATTCACAAAAGAGGCCCTGTTTTCGTGGCGATGTTCTTCCCCTTGGCGCTTTTGATCGCCGTTGCAGCCTCCTCCTTCCTCTTAGGAGAAGTCATAAACCTTGGAAGGTAATCACAAATTTTTTCTATTTTCTTTATAGTTGTAAGTTTGATTAATATTGTGTTTTGGTTTGTGATATTGAACATATACGCAGTGTTTCTAGGTGGAGCTTTTATGGTTGTAGGCCTTCACTGTGTTCTATGGGGAAAAAGTAGAGAAAGAAAGAACATGAATTCAAGTGTTGAGGATGCAAAGGATAGCATCTCGAAAGTAGAGATTGCCTAGTGAAGTGGGTGACTTTTTGTCAGCATTTGTTATGAAACAAGCCAATAAGGTAACATTCTGTAGGTGGTGTCGTTAAAATGAGGTAAATTTATGTGTCATGCATTCTCTAATGTTTTCTGAGCCTTATGACTTGTTTTATGACTTGTTTGGATTGGGGGTAATGTGTGTAAAGCATTTGGGGGTAGTGTGTGTAAAAGGAATGTAGGGGACATGTTCATCTTGTTTTGGGAATTCATTTGAGCTAGTTAATGAGGGGGAAGTTAAGGTAATCACTAGTACAAAACATGACAGCCCAAACGGTTGAAACCGTTTGGGAAAACCCCCTCCCAAACGGTTACAACCGTTTGGGCGAGGAAAAAAACCCGTTTGGGCTAAAGCCGTTAGGGATGAGTTTTCCCCAATAGTCGCCCAAACGGTTGTAACCATTTGGGCCGTTGCCCAAACGGTTAAACCTGTTTGGACGTTATCCCAAACGGGTGAAACCGTTTGGGACCACAATATATGCCAAACGGTGTTTGGGACCACAATATATGCCAAACGGTTTCCACCGTTTGGCATATATTGTGGTCCCAAACGGTTTCACCCGTTTGGACAAGTATCTGGCCAAACGGTTACAACCGTTTGGCCTATTAATTTATCCCAAACGGTTTCACCCGTTTGGACAAGTATCTGGCCAAACGGTTACAACCGTTTGGCCTATTAATTTTAATATTTTTCATTTCAGCTATTTTATTTATTTACCTGCTTATATTTAATATACACATTTTACACAATGATTACTCAATATCTCACAATGAAATAAAAAACATATACATATACAAAAATATCTCAAGCGGTGGTAAATATTCAATATTATATATAAATACACAATAATTACTCAAAATGTAATATTAGAGATACGTGCACAATGATTACTCAATATCTCACAATGAAAATTAAGCATTCAATATTATACATTTGTCTCTAATATCCAAAATGTCTCATACATCAAAATATAAGATAGGAGCGGCCTGATCCATCCAGTCAAGGAACAGAAGAAATTCCTCAAAGAATATCCTCTTGGGACAAGCCCGAACGCCTTAAGTCTGCAAATATCCTAGCAATATTCTCATGTGACAAATTAGAAAAGCCCGAACGCCTTAAGTCATGTAGATCGTCAATGCAGTCCAAATTCCCAAAAATCCATGGCTTGAGGAGAGAAAAATCATGCATGGGATGCTAATGGAAGCATCGACAACCTGAGAATATTAGGGCAGATATATAAGGTTTCATGACAATAGGTCATGTATTTTCAATTTGGAGAGGGGTAAATAAACTGATTGCCATAGAATATGATGCAAAGGTGTAATCTGATGCTCCAAAGTTGACGCCATCGAGAACAAATGCCAGAGAATTGATCGGTTGAGTTGCAGCTACAAACTGAAGAGCAATATTTTAGAATTAAATCTTACTGCAATTTGTAATTGTCATTTTATTATATTTTATGATAATATGGAAATATACCGGTAATCCTCTAAGTACTATCTTCAGCATATTGACATCATTTGTGAATATTCTTGATCCAAACGACGTTCCAAGTCCAAGCGCAAGAGCGAGTACCACCCCAAGAACTATGCTCAACTTCAAAATAGCGTAAGATATTTAATATGGTTTATTACACAAAATCCCCAGTCACTTTCAGCGTTTTGCAGTAAACCCTAAATAAAGAACACTCCAATAAGTTTCTGCGCTTTGCAGATATCCCATGATGGCGTCAGTCCACGTTTTAACTTTATAAAGAAAATGATAGATGTAGTAGTTCTAAGTTGAAGGAGGTGAAACTTAACCAGTTTGAAACGAAAATTTTTGGCGGTCTGCATGGTGCAAGTTAGCAGGCGAATCTGGTTTTGCTAACTTACACCCCCGCCGAGATTTGGATGGGGAAGAAAAAGAAGAATAGCGGGAAGAAGATTATTGAAATTGGATTGAGAGCCTCAAAATTGATCTCGTCTGCTTATGAAGATCAATATGATACCAGTTTTGAAGATGATAGCCCGATCTCTGAGGGGGAAGGGTTTAGTACGATCTTGATGGGGTCAACGGGACCAAAGGGGGAGAAGAGGAAGAAATCAATGGCGGAGATCCTCAATGCTTCTTCTCGAGTAATGCCAACTCCTACCAGTGCGACTGGATTTCAATCTCGCCATCTAAGTGAGTCTTCTATTCCTCAGAGTAGAATTTCTTGGGCTGAGGAAGCTGATTTTGATTTTGATGATGATCTCTCTGATTCAAAAGCATCTCAGTCTCAGTTTCAATTAAACTCTGATGCTACTGTTCCATTGAATCAGCATGAGGAAATGGATGATGCTGTTAGATCTGAAACTGTTAATACTTCTTCAAGTTTGAAAACTAATTCTCAATTAGAGGAAATAAACTCTGATGCTGCTGTTCCATTGAATCAGCATGAGGAAAGGGATGATGCTGTTAGATCTGAAACTGTTAATGCTTCTTCAAGATTGAAAGCTAATTCTCAATTAGAGGAAATAAACTCTGTGAACTCCCCAATAGAGTCTCCTGAAAAAGTAAATGCCATTGATAAAGATAAGAAAAGTTGGGTAAGTCTTTTTGCTGACAACAGGAAGCTTGGTTGTGGAATGAACCTGAATTATTTGCCATCTGAAGCTAAGGATAGTGTATCTTTCAATGAAGAAGAATGGAATGAGGGAGCATCCTTTTGGGAATTCTCTCTGGTAGGTCAGGTAATGGGGCTGAATGTCAAATTTAAGGCAATGGAGAATTTTGTTCAGAAAATCTGGGCTCCTTTAGCTGTCCCTGATACCTGTCTTCTCAAAGCTGGAATATTCCTATTTAAATTCAAAAATAAGGCTGATATGAATAGTATTCTTAGTAATGGTCCTTGGTTTTTTGGGTCAAGGCCTA